AAGTAAAACTTTTGAATTATTTACACTACAAATTATTTCATTATTCACACTACTTAAAATAACACACATTCCCTTAGTCAGTCAGCAAGAGTTGCTTGTATTCATTCATTCACACAGTTACGTAATCATTATTCAACAAATATCTTGAGTACCTACTATGTGCCAAATACTGTGCTGGATGCTAGGTATACTTATACATCCTAATGTCATTCTTATTTTGGTACGAAATCATACTGATGACTTGGAAATTTAGCAAAGAAATGTCCTCAAACTTTGACCATAAATGAAGGATGTTTGATAAGTGGGTGTCAGTAGGGGACTCACAGGCAAAGCATCAGTGCCAAGAGTTCAGGTCTCTCATTTCAGCACCACACAAATGCTCTAGAGACTTTCTGATACTTTCCTGGAAGTGAATATACTCATACAAATGATTCATTTGGTTTGTATCTGCCATATGAAAAATTTAAAAGGTACTCCTTTATTCTGGGAATACAAGGCTAGTTCAATATTTTAAAATCAATTCATGTAATCCAGTCTAAAGGGAAAACTTTGACAAAATACAACATTCACTTATAAAAATTCTCAGCAAACTAGAAAAGATACAAACTTTCTCCACCTAATAAAGGGCACCTACAAAAACCCTACAGCTAACATCATACTTAATGTTGAACGATTGAATGCTTTTCCCCTGAGATCAGGAACAAAGCAAAAATGTCTATTCTCACCACTCTTATTTAACATATACTGGAAGTCTTAGCTAGTACAATAAGCAAGAAAAAGTTATAAAACCCATTCATATTAGAAGGAAGAAAACATAACTGTCTCTACTCACAGATGATATGACTATCAATGTAGTGAGTCCCAGGGAATCTACAAAAGATTCTTAGAACTAATAAGTGAGTTGCAGGATACAAGGTAAACACACAAAATTCAATTGTATTTCTATATGCAAACAATGCACAACTGGAAACCAAAAATGTTTTTAATTACCATATACAATATCTCTTCCAAAATGAAATACTTAGATATAAATCTAACAAAATATATACAGAATCTGTATGCTGAAAACTACACATGCTGATGAAAGAAATTAAAGCAACACCTAAATAAATGAAGAGACATACTGTGATCATGGAGTGGAAACTCAACATAATAAGATATCAATTCTCCTCAAAGTAAACTATGAATTTAATCAATGGCTATCAAAATCTCAGAACGATTTTTTGTAGATATTGACAAGCTGATTCTAAAATTTGTATGAAAGAATAGTTAAAACAATTTCGAAAAAGAACAAAATTGGAGGAATCACACTACCCAATTTTAAGACTCACTAAAAAGATACAATAATTGACACATGATATTGGGAAAGGGGTAAACATATACATCAATGAAAGAGAATAGAGTCCAGAAATAGTCCCACAAAAATATGGCTATTTGATCTCTGACAAAAGTTCAAAAACAATTCATTGGAGAATAATCTTCTTTAAAAATGCAGCAAAAAATACACCTTGACCTAAACTTCACAACTTATTTAAAGGTTAATTCAAAATGGATCAGTTCTAAAAGTAAAGCATAAAATGTAAGACTTTTAGAAGAAAACATAGGAGAAAATCTTTGTGACCTGATGGTTAAGTGAAGAGTTTTTATATATGATAAGAAAAGTACAGTTCATAAAAGGGAAAAAAAAATTGACAAATTGGACTTTATCAAAATTAAAACCTTTTGCTCTGCCAGAGATACTGTCAAGAGAATGAAGACATAAGCTACAGACTGAGAGAAAATATTTGAAAATCACATATCTGACAAAGGACTTGTACTCAGAATATAAAAAGAATTATCAAAAATTAACAATAAGACTGGGCTTCCCTGGTGGCGCAGTGGTTGAGAGTCCGCCTGCCGATGCAGGGGACGCGGGTTCATGCCCCAGTCCAGGAAGATCCCACATGCCGCGGAGCAGCTGGGCTCGTGAGCCATGGCCGCTAAGCCTGTGCGCCCGAAGCCTGTGCTCCACAACGGGAGAGGCCACAACAGTAAGAGGCCCGCATACCGCAAAAAAAACAGCAAAAAAATTAACAATAAGAAAAAAATTCCAATTAAAAAATGGGCAAAAAACTTGAGCAGGCACTTTGCCAAAGGGGATCAAAGGACAGCAAATAAAAACATGAAAAGATGTTCAACTTCATTAACCATTAGGGAAATGCAAATTAAAAACACAATGAGATACCACTACATATCTCTTAGAATGGCTAAAATAACAGAAACCAAAAAGTAGACCTCATCAAAGTTAGTAATTTTGCTCTGTAAATACTCTGTTAAGAGAATTAGAAGGAAAGTTACAGACTGGGAGAACATATTTGCCAAACATAAAAGACAAAGGACTAGTACCTATTATATATAAATAACTCTCAAAACTCAAAAGTAAAAATGCAAACAGTCCAGTTAGGATATGAGCAAAAGACAAGAAGAGCCATTTCGTTAAAATGTATAGATGGAGAATTAGCATATGAAACGATATTAAACATCATTAACCATTAGGGAAATGCAAACTGAAACCACAATGAGATCTCACTACACACCTATCAGAATGGCTAAAGTAAAAACTAGTGACTACACCAAATGGTAGTGAGGATGAAGAGCAACGGTATCACTCATACATTGACAATAGGAATGTAAAATGATACAACCACTCTAGAAAATAGCTTGGCAGTTTCTTAGAAAACTAAACATGCCAACTACTATACAATCCAACAATTGCACTCCTGGACATTTATCCCAGAGAAATGAAGACTATGTTCACTAACCTACATACAGATGTTCATAATAGTTATATTTGTAATAGCCAAAAACTACAAATAATCCAGATGTCTTTCAAGGGTGAAATTTTAAGCAAACTGTGGTATATCCATACCATGGAATACTACTCAGGAATAAAAAGGAATAAGCTATTGATATACACAACAACCTAGATGAATCTCCAGAGAATTATGATGAGTGAAAAAAGCCAATACCAAATGGTTACACACTGTATGACTCCATTTATGTAACTTTCTTGAAATGATAACATTATAGAAATGAAGAAAAGATTAGTGATTGCTAGGGATTAAGGAGGGGATGGGGGCAGAGAGCAAGTGGGGGTGACTATAAAAGGGCAATATGAGGGATCCTTGTGGTGGTATAAATGTTCTGTATCTTGACTGCATCAATGTTAACATCCTGATTGCGAGACTGATCTATAGTTTTGCAAGATTTACTACTGACGAAAGTGGGTAAGGGATACAAGGGACTTCTCTGTGGTTTCTTACAAATTCATGTGAATCTATAGTTAACTCAAAATAGAAAGCTTAATTTAAAAATACTGAAATATCAAGTGTTGACAAGGGTGTGGAGGAACTAGAATTCTCATACATTGCTGGTGGAAATGTAAAATGGTAGGTACAGCCACTCTGGAAAAACAGTGTGGCAGTTTCTTACAAAGTTAAACATACACTTCCCATATAACCAACAATATCACTCCTGGGTTATTTACCTTAGAGAAACGAAAAATATTTTCAAACGAAAACCTGTGCATGAATGTTCACAGCAACTCTGTGATGGCCCAAAACTGGAAACAAAATGTTCATCAATAAGTGAATGGACAAAAAACTGTGATATAGCCATATAATGGAATATTGTTCTGCAATAAAAAGGAATAAACTATCAATGCACATAACAGTTTGCATTAATTTCAAAGGCATAAAGCTGAATTAAAGAAGCCACCCTTCAGAAGTTACATACTGTATGAGTCCATTTACATGACATTCTCAAAAAGACAGAACTATGGTGTTGGAGAAGAGATCTGTGGTTGCCGGGGGTTAGAAGTTAGTGGAGGATGTGACTAAAAAGTGATGGCACAAGAGAGTTTTGGGGCTGATGCAACTGTTACGTAACTTGACCGTGGCGTGGTTATACAACCCTATACCTGTGTTTAAATTAATAGAACTGTATGAAAGAAGTAAATTTTACTGTATGATAATTAATTAATTATTTTAAAGGGATCCTTTTTCTCCAACTAACAGCCCTATGCCAGAGTTGGATTTCAGCTACCACTGGCCCCTTTGGTTGGCTTCATTTGTGCTTTACAATCACAAGTTTCAACACTGCTTGGTTTGCCCCAGAAGAATAGAGAAACAGAGGTGTTTAAAGACTACGTAGGGAATTGTGAAGTACTCTGAGTAACGGATTAACACAAAATCCTTTCTCTTTCTCTGATAAAGTTGACCTTGGGTTAACCTTCTAGCTCTGTTTCTTTGGAAACCTGATAATGGTGGAATGTCAGCTGTGTTACCAGCCAACATTAGTTATGGTAAAAGGAGCGTGATTAGTAATATTCTATCTGGACCAAGGGGACTATGAATTAAAGATTAATATCTTGTGGGAAGCCTTAGTTTTGAGCTTCTCAGAGCACAATGACTCTTGTAACTGGGCATGTCGCTGTGGGACCCATGGAGGCATCAGTTATGGGAATTACAAGAGATGTTGGTTTCTATTTGGGAAATGAGGCTTCTAAAGCCCAGATAGCTCCTGTACCTATCTGTGTGATCTTGTTGTGTTATATCTGAACTGCCATTTGCACGACCAAAGAATAGCCCCTGAACTGCTGTGTGTGTAACTTGCTGAAGGGAAGCTAGCATGCTGTGTTTCCTATCCTTCACCTTTTTAAGTAAAACCAATGCCAAGTGAGATCTATTGGAGTGAGTATAAAATGACTAGTTGAGCAAAAAATGACCATGGCAGGCATTACAAATACTCTAGTAAGTATCAGGGGTCTAAACTAAACTGAGACTTTTGGAACTACCCTAGAAGAGTTAGAAATTTGGCAGGTAAGGAAACGAATGGTAATGATGTGAATGGAATTCACATTTTTTTTTCTATTCATCTAGCACAAGTAATTTGTTTACCCTGGGCAAGTGACCAGGTCTGGTGTATTGTCTGTGGGTGAAAAACCTTTGTATCTTTCTTACCTTGGGGAACTTGCACAAGGCCAACACTTATCCCAGCAAGTAAGTCTCCAAGAAGCCAATCCTTGAATCGATAAAAACACATCCACTCTAGGAAGGGAAAGATTGTAAGCATGCATCTTCGAAACTTGTGCCATGAGCAGCTGTGAGAAAGAACAGAGACTTGATTAAGTTTTCCAAAGAAAAAGCCCACATGGCCAAGAAAAGGCATAGTGAGTACCTTCTTCTTCCCATACAACAGAGTTTCTTTCAACACTACTGATATTTGGACATATTGGACTGGATAAGTCTTTGTTGTGAGGCTGTCCTGTGCACTGTAGGATGTTTAGCAGCATCTCCGATCTCTACCCATTAGATGCCAGTAGCATCCTCTCCCCTAGTCATGACAATGAAAAATGTCTCCAGACACTGCTAAATGTTCCCTGGGGGACAGTATCAACTTCAGCTGAAAACCAGTACCATATGTATGACAAGAACTAGGCCTTGTAAGTCCAGCATACGAATCAGGCCTGTGGTTTTACAGAATGTTTGAAAAGAATTCAACCTACCAAAATTTTCCAGTAGAAAAATGGACTGTTATGGCTTTCTCTTGGTAAGGACAGTTTTATGAGATGTGCTATTGGTGGGTGGCAGAGAATTAACACATTCACATCATTCCTGTATACTAAAATTTTTACCAAGCATTAACTCTACATGGCTTTGACCTGTAATATGCAGAAATTTACAGAAAATATAGAATATGGAGTCTTGTGCTTATGGCATTAGCCATGGAAAGAAAAGGGAATAAAATAAGGCCTTATTATCTTTTAACCCAGTGGATAATGACCAGAAGCAATTTTGTTCCCTAAGGGACATCTGGTAATGTCTGGAGACATTTTTGATTGTCACGACTCGCATCTAGTGGGTAGAGGCCAGGGATGCCACCAAACATCCTACAATGCACAGGACAGCCCTCCACAAGAAATGATTTCATGGTCCAAAATGTCAACAGTACTGAGATTGAGAAAACCTACTTTAACTTTTAGATCATCAAAACAGCAGAATCACTGTAAACCAATCAATCAATCTGTTAATTAATTAATCCATTAGTAAAGCTAATATGGTTTTAAATTGCTTTTTGCTATTTATATCTCATTATGGGCTGAAAACAAAGAGTATGGAGATTTTTCATGTATGAGCTATCTCTGAATAATTGCGATTTGACTGTAGCAACAAATATAACTTCAGTGTATGCAAGGCTAAAATGTGTGCTCAGAAAAGAAGTAATTTCAATATGCTTGACTCTAACAACTATGGGCATTACAGTCCCTAAGGTAATTAAGGCCAAAGAAGTGTAAATGTCTTTGCCAAGGTCACAGTAACAAGTGTGGGCAGAACTGGGCCTAGAATCCAGATTTCATGATTTTTAGTTCAGTGTTCTATCCAGTCTATTACCATCACAGTTCCTATCGACAGCTGTTGAATTCTGCTCAGGAGCCAGAAGCAAGGCCATAGGTTTAGAAAGAAAAACACATTGCTATTTTTATGAGAATCCCTGGGTGTGGAGAGTGTGCTGTCTCCAATTATGGCCCTCTATGGGGGCGAATACAGCATGGCATTGGGATAATTTGTTTCTGCGTCTGGTCCAGTGTCCCTTCCTCTCCATGTGCCACCCTGGAAGACCAGCGACCCTAGGGAGAGTCATCAAAGCTCTTTAGCATGGCAAAAAAATAAAATGGACATGGAATAATGAGGACCTAAGACTGACAGGGATCAAGGAAGGAGTTAGAGGAACAGAAACTGAAGCTGGTGGTGGAAGAGTTATAAGCACTTTGACATGAATCTGGATCCTAGTTAAAGCATCTTAAAAGTGAGGAATGTAAGAGTTGATGTGAAAGCACAGGGGAGATTTTTTTTTTTTTTTTTTTTTTTTTTTGGG